CCCCCCCCGCCCCCACACACTTTCTTATCTAGATTGCTAAAAGAGACTTTATTCCACTGCCCTCATGCTGTATCTGGATGTCTACATATATACCAGGGCCGTTTTCGTTTAAACGGCCAAACCGGTCGGACCACAGATGTTCGTTTATTAAATAAGGTCGAACCTAGTAATCTGATATGCTGCTTTCAGGCGAGCCTTGACAAAGCCATGCAAGGCCTGCATAAACATTTGCAGGTCTGCCAGGATTTATACCCGAAATTGTAACATTTATAAACGGTCAAACCAGTTGTTCCGCATTAACGAACAGGCCCCTGGTCCTACCAGCAGATACATATAGTGTGGGTAGATACACCAGGTACCCCTAACCACCTGGCCAGTATTCACTGATGATCAGTGTAGATTGTTCCAGCAGTTACACGGGTCTGTGCCTACATTGGCCCCCTCTCTGTAGACTGGCAGTGTCATTGTCTGAGGGCCCTACCACCCATCAACACCTCACTATACAGGAGTGGAGGTATACAGATCTCAGACAGATGACATTGTTTTAGGAACATTATAGTTACCTATATCTACAGTTACTATAACAGACCGTTTACAATGACTCGTTAGATCTACTAATGTTTTGTTAGGTACGGGGCAAACATTGGTATTATCACCGCTGTATCAAAGCTGATCTCAAGTCATTGTTTAAAATAAAACAACTATCACAAACATTCGTAAATAACAGAATAAATATTCTTTTTTTCAATATCTTCAATTTTGCTTTCTTACTTAAAAACAGATACACTAAAATGAGGCTCAATGGATAAAAGATTCATGTTTATAGAAGTTATGAAAATGATAGAAGTGACTTGTGATTTTCCTTGGAAACCAGGGTTGAGGTTTAGATTCTGTACAAGTGATAAGTGATTTTGAATGGAGACTAGGGTTGAGGTTTAGATTCTGTACAAGTGATAAGTGATTTTAAATGGAGACCAGGGTTGAGGTTTAGATTCTGTATAAGTGATAAGTGATTTTAAATGGAGACCAGGGTTGAGGTTTAGATTCTGTACAAGTGATAAGTGATTTTAAATGGAGAC